AAGTGCCTTGCCGACCTTTTCAGCCCTGATTGCACGTTCCAGTTCCTTCCCCCCGCCCTGCAAAATCGCCTGCTGGCGCTTCGGACTGCGAATCGAGAGGCCTGGCGTCGGGCGCATGAGTACACACGCATCGCCGCTGCATCGACCGATGTGTACAGTCCGGCTGAACAGCCTCTCTATCCGCCCGAAGTACTTGTCTGGTTGTGCGAGCCACAATTTAAGCTGGAGCAAGTGCCCTTCATGCGCACTTTCATGTCTGTCATTGCTACTTCTGCCTTTCTTAAAGGCTTACTGCATTTAAAACCACTGGCTGGGGAAAACGAGAGCTGTCCCGAAGGCTGGTGGGATGAGGTCTCAAGGGAGCATTTTTTGGCCTACTTCCGCTGCCTCCTCCAAATCCTCAGCTACATGCAGGTTGGTGCCTGCGCTGTTAGCGCCCCTTTTTAGTTAAAACAACTAATATATTTACGCTATTTCGCCCAGAAACCAGCTTACGAGGCACGGTGAAACACTCTGCCTTTTTATGTTCAAAGTTGTCCCCGTTTTGATTGCTTGTGAGCTCTTTAGATCAAATAATCAGAATTATTGCGCTTACCATCCCAAAAGTAGGTTGGGGCATGGAATATTCACTCTGTTTTGATGCAATTTGTCTCAAAGGAAACAAATTCCATGCAACGAAACCTCGAGAGGAATGCGGACGCAAAGCAGAAGTTGCTTACCCTTAGGCTCCTGAGTGACAATAGCTGTCGTCTTTCTCTGCTAATCACGCTATCTGCCCATCTGGCTAGCACCGATCGTACTCTCCTTCTCGCTGCCATTAAAGAAACCCGAGAGGTGAGTGTAGTTCACAATTTCTCATCTTCCCTCATCTGAGAGGAGAAAAGCGTTAACTAACTTCATTGAAAGTTATGTTTTTTGTCTTGTCGCAAAAATAAAGAAGCAGAATTTATTCTATCTGTTGCTTCTCTCAGGCCTTTGAACAACGTGTCGGCGTTATAGATCGTTGTTTCCGGGTGGCTCCCTTCACGCACACACAAGAAAGTAGCCTTGTCGGGCAAAGGGACGACAAAGAAATCGCAAGTACCTCCTTCCAAGCTCTGGGAGCCACGTCGGAAGTCTACGAGTACGACGTGGCAAAAATGAGAGTGAGCATCGTGCAGCCTCTACCTCGGCTATTGGCAGCCCTTTACGGATATGGAATTGAAATGGGTCTTTCCCCCGCCCTCCTGGGTCTGGCTGATGAGGTCTGTTACTGTTTACATTCACCATGCAATGCTGAATGTACTGTTGGCTTTGTAAACGCCTTTAATGTTTCACTTGTTTTAGGGATTTGTTAATCTTGTAATTGAGAGGCCACTGCAAATGGTCACTTTTTTGGCCCAGTGGTCAGCAAACCTGTGGCTGCCAAACAGTGACGAATGTCAAAAGCTCGTGAGTGATCAGGCTCAACCGTTTGATATGCTTAAATTACTATTGTACATGTCGCCCAGCCTCATAGTGTTCACATTGTTCCAATCTTAAAAAACAGATCGTGGAAATTTCTACAACGTTTTCTATGGAAACTTTTGGACGGGACTATCAGCTTCTGCAGCAAGCGGCCGCGGTTTTGCCCCCGGACGAGTTGATTGTTCGAATGGTGCACAAACTCAACCTCAAG